AACGGTTCAGATTTATTCTCACTTTAAACGTGATCGGATGATCGAGATCAAATCGTAATGAACAGTCCATATTTATTTTTTCTTTAAACGTGGTCGGACGGTCTAAATCAAATGCGAAGAACGGTCCAAATTTAAGTGAGACGAGTATAAATATCTCGCATCACACCAAACTCAAACCCTAGCCTTCAGCCTCTTGCCGAAGAAGAAGAACCAGTCGCGGGAGAATGGAGCTGATCGCTGCCCACCGCTGCACCAGAGCCACCTCTGACTGCCAAAAAGGTAAAAATTCTTCTATTCGCTCGAAATTTGATTTCGAGCACCTCCATGATCAAATCAGAGCAAAAAGAATGACAAATGAGCTGAAAACTGCATGTAAAGACCGGCGGCACCGTCGCGGGTAAAACCTGAAATCGTCTCCGATGAGCTCCTTCTCTTTTTTTGTTTCGTGTGATTTTTCTACAATTGTGTTCTCCGTTTTGTTTTCTACTGGTTGACTAAAGAAAAATATCCAGCAGCGAAGGTGAGCCGATGGAGTCGTTATATCGAAAAATTGTCGTCGGTACGTTTCCGTTTTTTGACTTTTTTCGACCAACTGAGGTCCCATAACGTATTTTCTCACAGGAATGGGTGTAAACAGGTCAAAACTGGCCAAAACTGGTTGAAAGTGGCCAAACTGAGGTGAATTATCACCGCAGATGGCAGTGTCGTCGCTGGAGCATGGTGGTACCGCCGTGCTGAAATTCTGAAATTAGTCAAAAAAAGTTTTTAACACTGATTTTGGATTTTTTGGAGTATTTTTAGGTGAAATGTGTTTTAATCTCCGCAGCAAAATTCAAAAAAATCGGAGACTGCCAATATCCGTGGTAGAAAGTTCGGTAGTTTAGACACCGATTCAGATAAAAATCCTTCACCTTATTCTCTATTATGGAATTGAAGCTTAATAATCGATAATATAGTATTTTATATAATTTAGAAAACTTTGAGAATAATTATAGGTCACTCATGCAGCCAGAACTGATTAGTTCTTTATTTATCATGTTTAACTGATTGTTAAATTTAAAGCTTTAAAAACATGATGATATAATGTAATGGTTGAATAATTCAGTTGTACTTCCTTGATATATATATATATATATATTGCTTATTTTGCATGATTTACGGTTGATTTGTAAAATTAGAAATTAATATGCAAATAGAAAATTGATTGGTCATGTGAATTAATGAATGATAGCTTAATGGATATTCTGTGAAATGGTGGATGGACCGGGTACATAGAAAATTCTATCGTTAATGTTATTTCATACTAGACAGGGTATCAAGAAATGACAGTTTTGGCGCTCATATCGAACAGGAATGGGGACAGCCCTATTCACCCTCATACCGGACGAGATATTGATGGATGGTATTTTTGGCGCTCATACCGGACGGGATATGGGGACAGTAAGTTAGTTGACAATGTTGAATATTGGTTCACATGTAGTGGAACATACTTATGGACTTCCAGGGATACTAGTAGGCAAATAAAAAGGAAACTGATTGCTATTGCTCACTTGAAAATGAGATTGGAATGTTATTTGAATTATTGTATTTCTATAGATTGATTTTAGAAATCTTGCAACAGTAAATATATGAAATAAATTATTTTTCCTTATTATAAATAAATTTACTTAAATCAAAAGCTCTATTTGTTGTTTTTATGATTTTTACCAACATTCAGTTTATGTATCGGTGAGTAGTGTGATATTCTTACTGAACTAATGTGGCTCACTCTTTCATTAACTATTTCAGATCAAGAGGATCAAAACCCAGATCCCGATCAACAAGAGAGTTGTGAATAATTCACCACCTGGACTTCCTTCAAAGTTAGTGAAGGTCGTCCTAGAATGCTCAGTATATTGCCTTTTTGCTTATTTCTTTGATTTTCGTTTGTTTTTTTTTTAGAAATGACATTCTCATAACTCTATTAGGTATTCTAAATTATTGTGTAAAGAATATAAACTCTAAACTCAATTATTTTGCTTCTGCATTTAATTCATGATTTATTACCTTTTAAGTTTTAGGTCTTTACAGATGTTTTTATCAAAAAGATTAAATCATTAGCAAAGAAATGATGTGATAACAAAATACCTATCCTCCCGAATTTGAGAGGTTTCTGCTCCTCTATAGATACTCTATGGTGTATCATATGCCCTAATTACTTAGTATAGGGAATAAAGATATAAAAAGACATGGGATCAATCTATCTGATACCCCTAAAAGTGGTATATTTCTCAAAAAGAGCATCATTAATTGCCACTTTCATCTTGGACAACTTGATGCACTCCATGGTGCAAAAAACCATTTTAAAGGGAAACTAGCAATTTTTAGAATGAAGTTACAACTCAATCTATCATAAGTTTTTTCAAGGTTAATTTTAATAGCCATGAAACCCTTTTTTTTTGTTTTTTTCTTTTTACCTCTCACTCATTATATTGATAGGTTTCTGGGCAATAATAATACTATTAATAATTGATCTATTTGAGAAAAAAAAAAGTCGAATAGTTTTATTGTGAAAAGGGAATCGATCACCAATTTAAATTTATTTACAAGAAATTTATAGAATAACTAATTAATCTAAGGATGACAAATGTCTGATAAGAAGATGGTATGATCAATTATCTCAACGTAGCTTATTATATTGCCCGCTGAATAATCGTAGAAAATTTTTGCACTATAGTTTTATATTTAAAAATATGGTTTATAAATTTTTTTTTTTAAAAAAAAGAACATAAAATGTGGGCTGAAAAGAAGGTGGAAGATTAATTAACGAGAGTAGTCACTGGAATTTAGATTTTTATAAAAGCCTTATCCTATCTGCATCATTATTACTTTATTTTAAATAATTATAATATTTTTTTTACCAAGAAAAAATAAAAGAATAATTTTACTGACAAACCATTTTGGTGTCAAGTGATGGCCGTAAGAGCTCAAATTTATTTTAAAAATAAATAAATAAATAAATCGTTTTGGTTTTTTGTTTTTTTTATGGAAGAAACGAATTTAATTAATTAATTTATTTATTTATTATTATTATTATTATTATGTGCGTCATCAATTCAACTTATAACATCATCCTTCCAAATTGCTATTTTTTACTTATAATTTTTAAATAAATAAATAAAACGCCAAAGAGTGATGAATTGAACACACGACTCAAACTCATTCTATATTTTGTCTTCTCTGCTTTAATCAACATAAATTTTCACTTAAGATTACAAAATTATATATTTTATAAGTTATTGTGGAATCTATTATTTTAAAAAAAATTATTAAGAATAGTTGGATAATTTTATAGTTAATATTACATTTTATAATGATCAAATTGAAGTTTAAGGTTATATAAGTTGTAAAATAATTTATAAAGTATAAAAAATATTTGCTGTTTATCTTTTCAAATAAATTTTGTAAGTTGTGGTATTAGAATATTGAGGGCTTTTGTTTTTGTATTGCATTCATGTGTCTCACCTACACCAAAGTCTTACAAGAAGTCAATATGAGCTTGCTAAATGGAGTGTTTGTCATAATAGACCTTATAAATTCTATCCTCTCTTTTTTATTTTTTTATTTAATATGAACTATATTCTTAATAAAACAAAATTTATGCATATAACATAAAAAGTAAATGAAATTATAAAAAGTATCTTCCTATAAAAAAAAAAAAAGATGATTTGAAAGGGAGGTTGCAATATTAATTAACAACATATAATAATTTATTTATAATTTTTTATTTAGTGATATCAATAGTTTAATTGACAAATATTATAATAAAATTACAGTGAATAAATTATAATTCATTCGGACAAAATATAACATATTAGTTAAAAAATAAATAAATTATGTAGTGATTAAATTTTTTTAATTGAATTAATTACAATAAAATTAAAAAAAATTCTAACTCAGAACAATTTCATTCTAAAAACTAATAAAATATTAAATATTCAATTATATTGCAATCATATTACTAAAAAGAGTTTGTTGGTTCTGGGACCAAATGAAGGTAGGTTAGGTGTGGTAATTAAGACCTAAAACCTAGTATTGACTGTATTAATTATTTTTTACTGTATTTTTGGACAAATTAATCAAAATAACAGTTTTTTTAATTTTTTATTTATTATTATTTTTTTTAAAAAAAAAAGTAAAAGTAATTATTGTATAATGTGAAGATTGGAAGAATGATTTAAGATGCGACTTGTCAATTATTTTGGGTCACACATCTTTTCAAACTGTGGTTGATGGAGAGCACTCTCTCAAAGTTTCTATTACCATTTTATCAAAAAACTAAAAACAAAAAAGAATTATTTTGACATAGCTATGGGAAAAATTAATTTACTTTGTATCTAATAAAATATATATATTAATTGTCAATGAAAATTAATTGAGACCCAAATAACTAAAACTTGAAATTAAACTCACCCATGTTGAGTGATTTTATAAAAAAAAAAAAAGTATAGTAATACACGAACAAAAAATTAAAAATAAAATAAAATAAAAAGCATAGAATTGGATGGTCTTGTCCAATTATTTTTGGAATTTATGAATAGAAAATTGGCACATCGAAGGCTTTATGTAAAAGCTAAAAGGATTTTCGGGTTCATAAAAGTAGAATATCAAAGCAATGGCTCTACCCCTCCAATAGCACCTTTTACTTTACCCATCACCTCTATTAGTGGGGCAACTAATCTAATTACTTAGTCATAAAGCCAACTATTTAATTTTTTGACTCACATTTATATTTTTATATATATATATATATATATATATATATACACATGAACTAAATCTTATAATATTGTTCAAATGTCTCTTTCTATTAATAATTATTTATTAATTAGATTTTTATTTTTTATTTTTTATAAAAATTCAAATCAATTTCACTTAAACTAATAAAATATCTACTTTTTCAATCTAAAATATCTTTAGAAAGACTCATACCCAATTCAATTTGAAGAAGAAGAACTAAAAGGAGGGTTTTGGCCTATCACAATCCATACTCATTACAAGCAATCTGGGTTTCAGCCCAACACCACCAAAAACGATTCGTGATCAAGGATCCCTTCTTCGTTATTATCATTACTACATCAAACAAAAACAAAAGAATGGTTTTGGAAGAAAAAAAGGAAAACAAATGTAAAAACGGTCAATTGTTTTTGTGTTTGGATATCCATTCTGATCTTCCTCTCACAATCTCTGCACCATCAGCTTGCAGGCGGAGGAGGTGTGTGTATTCCAACTCTGGTTTCCGATTGTTGTTGCCCAAACTCTCTCTCGCACTCGTCAGTGACTCCAGCAAATTTGTCTGCCGACATTCCCGTCTGTACTCAAGTGTCATGCTTCTCAGCTTATAATCTTCCAACACTTTTATTGGCACACTCTGCGTACACATATTTCTAATCTTGCATCAACACTACTCTTTATTAATTTCTATACACACACACACACACACAGACATATATATATATATATATATATATATACCTCCAAAATCCATCCAATGTATTTTACATTATTGACATGCTGGTTAGCATCCATGTCGTTCCATCTCGGCTGGAGTATTGCATTTGCATACATAGGAAAATCACGTTACCGCTGAGGGTGTGAAAACATATATATGATATATGTAAAGGTTTGGTGATGCATATATACTTACAGCTAGACCTGGGCGGATGATCTGTGCAGTTTGATGAGTAAGTTTGTCGATCTTTTCAGTGTCATTCTTTTCTGGGGCAATTGCATATCTGGTTAGGTAGAATGGCTCTACTTCTTGCTTTACTTGTTGAGGGATTTTTGATATTCTTCTTGTTTCTCTGTTCATCATCACCCATGTGCTGCATTTTCGTTCAAATTTTAAATTATATATATATATATATATATATATACATATATATAGATGAGTTAAAGTGGCATAAAGATTTTTGTAAATTAAACATGTTGAGATGTTGCACCTGGTTGCTCTTGTTATGATCTCCTGAGTCTGACAGTCCCGGATAATCCAATCTCTACACATTCCGTTCTTCCCTGCTGCATCCACCCATGTATCTATCTCAACAACATCTCCCCTATCGCACATTAATTCAGCTTTTATATATCTATATATACTTTTGAAATGGTAAGATCTTAAGTAGAGTCATGATAAAATTGTGTTTTATACCAGCAACTGTATCTCTCTACTTGAATATGGATACGAGTAACAACCCATATGAGTTTTCTTAGGTTCATCTCACGAGTGGCGCCAAACCCATCTCCGGCAAGCCCAGAGCTCATTACATGATTCAACGCCGTCTCCTATAAACATCATATATACAACATCTGAAATCTGTACATATTTGTATATTGTGTTTCAATCAAATGATATAAAATGGGAGAAAAGAAATTATACTCTAACCTGTAGGAGATTCATGAGTGTTTCCATGGTGGCAGTCTTGTCTGGTCCAATCTCATACGATCGAATAACAAAGGTTTGCCTGTACACAAACATGTCCTCCACAAAGCTACCAATCATACTTCTTTCTTTCACATCTCTATCCTCCTTATGCTTTACGGAATTGGGAACGTAAACACCGTTCACTTTTTTCCCGTTGATCATGTCTAAACTCCCAGTTCCAGGATTGTTAATTCTCCCTCCAGGACCCATCATTAAAACACTTGTTTTTTTGGGTCTGACTATCAAATTCCTCTTCTTCCATTCCCCAATACATGATATTGCTCTCACATCACTTGCAGCTGCCATTAATGGCAGTCGTTGTTCATTCGTTTTTGTTGGGAATTAGATAGTAAAAGGAACCCAGAAATAAACTTTTTTCTTCAACTCCTCAGCGAACTACTAGGGCTATATATCTTCAAGCCGAGGTTATTGCGTTGTTTATTCACAACAAGAAATTGGAAGGTGAAAAGAAAACGAAGTGAAAAAACAAAAGAAAAGATTACTTGAGCGAGGGAGATGAGGCTTGTCGCTCAACCACCTTTAATGGGTGGGCAAGAAATTAATCAGGACTTGTTAGCGTTAGCTTACACGAAATTGTTCAGGGATTTCAAAGGTGTTTTTCTATTTTTTTAATGGAGAAGATGACTTGTAAGATGAACTGTTTGCCCTGTTAAACCATTGGTTCAGTTCCCGTAGCTTTGCCATTAATTTGTGCTCTGTGCTATAAAACAGGGACGCCTCTGAACTCTCCAACTAAGACCATTGGTCAAACCCTCCAAGAGTATGTAATATATATATATATATGTTAATATATAGTATAGATATAAACGTAAATATTATTGATAAGAAGATAGATAATATAGAGCATCAAATTGAAAGGCAAAACTCCAACAAACTCATATGGGAATCCCATTTCTCTTGTATCCATGAGTGTCTTCTCATTGGCTCACTAATCTTGGAAAACCCAGTTGACTAAAGATGAACATCATGTTTCTTATATTTTTTAGAAAATATTAATTCTATTTTCTGCAGTATTACTATTTTTTTTTTATATAGAAAATAAAATATATTTTCGTGTGCACAGATTGTATTAAATTACATTAATCACTGTTCTTTTTTTTTTTTGTAATTTTTTAAGAATTATGTTAATCACAAAAATTAGAATGTGAATATGTATAAAATTATTATTCAGAATTCATTGGGAAATTATATTGAATTTATTTCTTATTTATAAACATTGCTTCTTGGCATCTTTTATTAATGTTTTGGATTTTAATTTCTCATTCTCTGCTGTCTTGGTTTGACTGGACAGACTAATGACTTTTTCCCATATATATATATATATATATATATATATTTCATTTTTAATATTTTATTTCTAATTTTCTATTTATATTTAAAATTTTACTCCTTTGCTTTTGTTCTCGACGTATCTTTAAACACACTTTATCTTTTTCCGTTCTTAATTTTCTTCATTCCTCTCTTAGTTTTATGAATTTCACTCTTCATCATTTCTTGAAATTTTTTTTCTGATTTGAATTTTCTTTAAAAGATTTTACATTATTTTTTTCCAATTAAAATAACATGAAGTTTTCCAAAACTACTCTCTTATATAAGAAAATAATTGGTAAGTTGCTTTAGTCTACTGCAACATTTAACATTACAAATGTTTTGAGATTTTTAATCTGTTCAAATGACTCTATTGTTCCCAACATTTATTTATAGCCAAAGAATGATTATATAATTCTCAAGTTTCAGTAATTTTTTTATGTGTTTTTCTATTAACAGACTCATTATTATTTGGGATCTTATTATGTTCTCAAGCTTTTGACTTAGGCCTCTAAATCTTCAAAGCATCTGGGTTCTGGATATTAGTATTGTTGAACACACTTTTTTTTTTTTTTTGTTTTCCCCTATGATTTCAATTGGATGATCATCCACCATTATCACTTTGGTTTATGGAGTTTGTTTAGATTAATGATTTGAACTTAGTTGTTGTAATTATATGTTTATGTTATGGTAAAAAAAAAAATGATTAAGTGAAGATAAAGTCATTACGGGCATCAAAAAAATATTCATATAATTATGAGATTATAAGAAAGCATGTACCAAATTACAAAATGATGATTTTTTTGAAAAAAAAAAAAATGTATGATAATTATTAAGTAAAAGAGTTTCTAATCCAAAAATTACAATATTAAAAAGAGATTGACAAATTTGAGATAATGGTTTTTAATGAGTATTAATAAAGATAAGCAGTATTGCCCTTGCAATTTAATAATGCTACGTGTCTCCGACAGATGAGATGAACTCGTGGCTTTCCCTCAAAGGTATTGGATTTTCATACGCGATTCATTTTAAAATTTTAACTAATTTGAATTAAAAAAAAAAATGTAAAGAAACTGCAGGCGGTGATGGATTATTTAGTGAGCATTAAACACCAATATCCATGGTGGACGGTGCGGGTGCCAAATCGAGTGCGACACGTTTAAGGCAGAATCCGATACTACCTCTTCTTCTGCTACGTGTCTCCTCCTCCTTTCTCTATATGTATCCACCTTCAGCAGTTGCTCCTCTTCTTCCTAAAATCTCTTCCTCTTTCTCTGTGTTAACCAGTTTGTAATTTGTTTGTTTCCTGTCCTCGGTAGTTAACTTCCCAGAAAGAAAACTATGGGTCGTCTCTGGACTTTGCTTACCCATGTTCATTCGCTAGCTGGGTAAACTTTCTTCGCTACTATGTACATACATACATATGGTTTCCTTTTTCCATAGATTTCTCATTACGATATTTTTCTCACATTTTAATTTACTGATGGATGAATGTTACAGGCCAGTGGTGATGTTGCTGTATCCCTTGTAAGCCGAACTCTATACACTTCACTTGCTATACGTACCAATTTTTATATGTATATAGAACATCTATGTGAGGGAATGATTTTTTTGAAAAGAATTTATATAGATATGCGTCGGTGATGGCTATAGAGAGCACTTCAAAAGTGGACGATCAGCAATGGCTGGCTTACTGGATCTTATATTCATTCCTCACTCTTACGGAGATGTTGCTTCAATCCATTTTAGAATGGTAATATATTCAAGTGGCTGTTGTTTTATATATATATATATATACGTATATCTGAAGCAAATTATATATATATGGATTGTAGGGTGCCAATGTGGTATACAATGAAACTGTTGCTGGTGACATGGATGGTTCTGCCACAATTCAGAGGAGCAGCTTTCATATACGAGAGGTTCGTGAGAGAACAATTCAAGAAACAGGGATTGGTTAGAGGAGATGGTGAACACTCCCATGCCGGCGCCAGGAACAAGTTTGTGCACTTCGTTCTTCCAAAGAAGGTAATTATTTAATTAATTATTGAAAGGTGCAAACAAGAATATATGTTTTAATCCTGAGATTTGACGTCAATTTGGACAGGGTGCACATGAAGCTTACTGAAGAAGAGACAAAAAGGAGAGGAGAATATGCATACGTTTTGGTTAATTTCCTTTTCTTTTATTTCCTCTTTCCATGTCTCACACATCTGTTGTCAAATATTCCTTCATCTTTCATCCACAACTTAGCTTTCGTATTTACTTTCTATATATATATATATATGTAAATGTTGCTTTGTTACTATCGTTATGTCGAATTATGTATACATATTACTTCAAGTTTTTTATATTCTACAAATACATACCTCTAAATTACAATTATATGAAAATTATAGTTAATATTTTTCACATTGTAGATTTACCTTTTTTCTAAAAAACGTGATTATAAAAAAGAAAAAAATTAAAATAACACTCATCAAAATTAGCAGCAAAAATAGAGAGAATAAAAAAAGAAAATGACTAAACTGCTTTCTTTAATCTATTAATTTCTTAACATAAATAAATCTTCTCCGTCCCATTGATAAAATTATCCTTATTTCTGTCAAATTCTTTTGTCTTCTTTATGGTCACTGTCAAAACTAGAAATAAAATTTGATAATGTTCTTATGATTTTTTCAATTCTTTGGTAAAAATAACCTTATATGTACAATCACAAGGGGTAAGAAAAAAAAAACCCAAAAAACTTTGCCTCTTCCTTCCTCAACCAAACCACACTTTCATCCTCATTCTAGTTAGAGACAAAACCAAAAGTTGAAAAAGAAAAGAAAGAAAATGTTATAATTTCTCTATATCCATATGAAGCTCTCCTCTTTCAGAAAACTCCTTACCTAAGATATTTGTATGTCATGAGCTTTTTACGATTTTCGTATAATTTTCTATGCCTAATATCTTCAAAAAGCTCCCTTGATGTTGCATTTATATCTTTTGATATTTAATTATGTTGAGAAGTAATGTTTATATCCGAAAATCACATTCTAGTTTATGTTTTTTCTCCATTAACTAAAGTGGTGATGAGCTCCTAAATTCTCCATATGTTGTGTCTTCTTCTATATACTTACATATGTATATGTATATATAGTTAGTTTAGAATTGGTGTTGTTGCTAGTTGAGTATTTTTGTGTTGTGGGTTTTGAGATGGTACTTATGATTAACTCTATAAGTGGACTACCTTAGTGCCAAAGTTCTTCTTTTTTCGCTTAGAATGTTGTGTATAACTCAACTTATTTCAGTCATATTTTTAATAGATTTGCACTTTCTTTTATTAAAGAAGAATCGGAAAATTAACATTTTACTTCAATTCAAAATAGAATTTGTAAGAACTAGAATTAGAATATTGTGTTAATTATCATAAATTTTCTTATATATATGACTATTTTATGGAAATAAAAAATATATATATAGAATCTTAATATAATTAAATCAAAAAAATTTAAATTTAAAAAAAAAATGGTAATGAAGTTCAGTCATCATAGTTTGAAGTGAATCAAAATAAAATGTTAAAACAAATATATATAAACTAATAAATTCTTCTCCATTCATTTGCATTATTCAATATAAAAATGAACGAATGAGATAACGATTACATATAAAAGAGTATGCCATTTTTTAACTGAAAATATCTTAAAATTCATGCAATAGATTAAATTTAATTAATACGTTATGTATAAACTTATGATTAACAATTAATTTAATTTACTAATGTCATGAATATCCAGCATACTTCATACATACTTATTGTCTATGGTAATCATATGAGTATGTAGAAACTAAATTCTAACCCAATAATGTAACGAATAGAAACTAGAGGAAATTGCTTTACTTTTTACTTTTTGAAGGGTCTAGATCCATTCTTCGTTAGAGGGAAATCAGAAATATCTCTACTTTAGCAAAAGTATGTCAATTAGTCTTTTCAATGTATACAAGAGCCAACTTTAATAACATATATATATATATATATATGTGTATGTATATGCCCTTAGCGTCTAAGGTAACAACAATAGTAGAAGGATACCCACTAAACAGAAATTATATATTACATACCTAATCAATGAGAGACTTTGTCACTTTCACCACCCAATAAAGTTACTCCCCTTATCAAAATGTGATTTGAAATTTGTCACTTGTTAATTTATCAATTTGATTATCATTACAATAAAAATAAAAGATTGCACACATGTCTACAAACCCAAAATGTATATCACTAAGATAAACTGATTGTGATCTTCTAGGTCATCACCACTCCAATTGATGAGAATTCTGTCACATGGCACAAGTAAATAAATACGTGGGTTAATATTAATTTCTACTAGTATTTTTATTTATCATATTTATACTTAGTATACTAATTTTATAATACGAAGAATATAATATTTTATTATTTAATTTAAACAGATTAATTAATTACAGAGTTTAAAAAATTGTCATCGATGATTACAATTTATTTCATACATAATTTAAAATAAAAAGGTATCACGTAAAAAAGATACTTTTACTTTATATTATTTTTAATATATACCATACAATTTGGACAAGTGATTTGTTCTCTCTTAATTATCAGAGATTGAATTCTCCACTACCTATGTAAATGTGCAATAATAATAACATTGTTAATCGAACTTATATTTTTTAAAGTTTAATCTTTATGCATAAATTATTTATTTATTAAGATTATCTTTTTATTCCACTCAGACAAATCTTGGTGGCAGAAGCAGAATAACGAGGTCAAAAGTTAAAGCCATTCTTTTTAACAATCCCACCTCTGCTCCAATCACTTATCTCCACACATTACCCTCCTCAAGTAATATACAAATGCTTTCTAAGCAATATAAATATAATACATATTGTAAAGTATTTTGAAAAACATAGATTATTATTATTATTATTATTATAGAGGTTTCTACAACACATAGTTGGGACGTGCGTCCCGTAAGTGTCTCAAACCCACTTCATAACTGAGTTAATAAACTCAAATCATCTTCTACACAAGTTTCCTAGAAAATTTAAATCCAAAGTTTAGCATTTAATCTCGTTTCCCTATTTACTAATTTGAACTATTATAACTAAACTAGAAATTAATTATGCTTTCGTGAACAAAGGAGAACACCAGAATGTTTTGCTGGGTCTGGTTTCATCTCTTCCATCACACTCCAATCTCACCAATTCTACGATGATTATATGAGACCGAGCGACAGATAAAGGGAGGAGAAGGGCGAGATGGTGACCGACAGACTGGGGCTCAATTTTTTTCTGTGATGATTTGGATTTTATGGTTTGAAATTTTTTAGGTGATTTTTGAAGATGATATGAGATGGATGATGATTTTTCCGGGCGATTGAAAATTTTTTCCAAAAAAGATATTCAGTTAAAATCAAGTGTTATTGCTTCTGGAAAAATCTTGGAAGTTCATAAATTTTATTGTAATAAAACTTATATTTAAGATTAAAATAAAATTGGATGATAAAATTTAAATTAAAATTAAAATTGGGAAAGTAAAAGTATAATTTATTCAAAACAATTCAATATTCCCACTCCGAAAAAATTCAAAACCGTACGTGAAGAAATTAATAGCTTTTGAAGTAAGAGAATCCAATAAATATTAATCTGTCTCTCATATATGTGTCTCTGTATATACATACATACATACATATATATATATATTCAACTTTTAAAATAGTAATCTTCCACATACAAAGAAGAAAATGGAAGTGTTTAATCTCTCACCCAAAAGAATTCACCTTTTCTCCCCCCCCCCCCCCCCCACTATATATAACCCTTTCCCTGCAACAATGCTTTACCTTCAGTACTTCAGATGGCAGTTCTTGTTTATATATAACATTGTTATCTTCCGAAACTTATTTTATCAGCTCCTGTAATTTTGCCTTTGCTCTTAATTAATCTATCAAATGATGGATTAATTAAGCCCTAAACCCATCCTTAAAATCCCAGTAAAACCCTTTTTCCTTGTCAACTATAATTTTATACACATGCATATATATATATATATATACATGGATCCTATCACCTTCCAAAAGATCCAAACCATCAAGAAATCCAAGAAGCATCAACTTGCGGACAGTTTTGTTGTGTATACATTCACAGCAGTGATTACTTGCAGCGTATTCATGTGCTGTAACCCTTTTTGGTTTTCCTCTCTGTGCTCTTCTTTTAAGCTGTTTATCCTTAATGGCCTCCCAAAATTTGGATCAGTCTTACTTGGCACCAAGGTTTTGTTTGTGATGGGCAACCTCATCGTGGTTGTTCTCCTTGCAGAATCCAAATCGTTTTCTTCAAGTCCTCCTTGTCTGGGTGCAAATGCATGCTACGATGAGTTTGTTGAGATTACTGAGAGTTGTTTGAAAAGGAGTGATCATCAGATGGGAATGGAGAAAGTAGTCGTGGAAGAAATTGTGAAGATCAGGGAAATTGATAAGGGAATACTGAGAGGTGAAGAAGATGATCAGGCGAATAATTTAACTACCGAGGAGTTGAACAAGAGGGCTAATGATTTGATTGCAAGAGTCAACAGGCGGAGGAGAGTTGAAGCTAGGCTTTTACTTGGTTGTAATGGTGAATACTAGCAACTAATAATTACTTCCAGCTTTTCATTTCTCAAATTTTGGTTTTAATATATTTTCTGTATTAATTTATTGATTTTGAATATTTATTGCACCAAAATATTTCTTCAGCAAATCAATCTTTAAGTTGGTTGTTTATCACAATTGCCTAAAACTATTTTTTTTTTTTTATTTCTTCATCATTAATTTGCTTTTGTTGTTAACTATTTAATAGTATCAAACCATTCCTCATCTTTGATAATAAACTTTAAATATTTCATCATAATCTTCACTAACTTACTTTTTTACTAAATAAATTTTGATATTATTTACTCCACGACATAAAAGCTACAATTTTAAATAAAACATATTTAAATAAAATGGATGAAGTTACAAAATTTACCTACTTTCTTAAAACAGTAAATAATAGATAAGTGCTTTTTTGTTTCTTACAAAATGCAATAAATAATTCAATCATTATATAAACAAAAATAGTTGGTATGTGAGAGTTTTTTTTTTCAATTATACAAATGAAATATTATGAGGCACCCGTGTCTACTAAAAAAGAAGAGAACATGTGATCCTTTTGAATTTGTTGACAAGCACATGCTGCTTATATTGTAATTAATCATAATTGTAAAATATGTGTCTAATTTCTACGCCTATAACTTTTCTGTTGAATTCTTATCTTTAAAAAAAAAAAAAAAAGTTAAATTATATATATATATATATTATTATTATTATTATTATACGATTAATTTAATTAAAAAAAATTTAAGCATCAAAAATATTATTTTGTCAGAAGATGCAGATTAATTCAATTTACTTATTAAAAATTCAACTAATATACGGCTGAATTGATCATAATAAGTTTGTAATTCCTTAAACTTCAATCAGAGTTCAACCGTCTTAGATCATGTTCCTTTTACCTTTGACTTTGTCGATAAGCTTTTGTTATTTCATATTCTTTTGGGTGGAGAAGATGGGACTGAATATTGAAGGGTACGTGTCATAAGCATCCCATGCAATCCCGCCACCTCCTTCTCCTTCATCCTTCTAGACTCTTCCACTCTTCTTCCTCTTCTTCTTCTTCTTCTTACCCGTATTTAAAACCATGCACCACCACAAGTTCCTTCCCGAGCCTATTCCACAAGCCATGGATTTGATCCACAAGTTCCTTAATCTTGCAGCTCCCACTTTCACTTTCTTCTGCTTCTTCTTTTTCTTGCTACCTTTTTACTTTTTCAAGTCCCTCAAATCCATCTTCTCCACTATTTTCTCAGAGAACCTTGCCTGCAAAGTTGTTCTCATCACTGGAGCTTCTTCTGGTATCGGTGAGGTATTTATTCTTCGAATCATTAATGAGCAGTATCTACCATATTTATTGTATTTTTTTATTACTCATTTTTCGTCCATGGTATACAATGTTTATAAAACCCAGGTCTCTCCTAGTTAATTATTAATTATGTAGATAACTACGGGGAAAGAGGGAATTACTGAGGGAATTCAACTCATAAAAAGCATTAATTTATTTATTAACTTGTTGGTGGTGCGCAGCACTTGGCATATGAATATGGTAAAAGAGGAGCCCGCTTATCTCTGGCTGCCCGGAGGTTGAACAGACTCCAAGAAGTTGCTGATATGGCGCGTGAGTTGGGCTCTCCTCAAGTTTTAACCATTCAAGCAGATGTTTCAAAGCGTAACGACTGCAAAAGCATGGTTGATCAAACTATTAATCATTATGGCAGATGTAAGTTCAATTTTCAATCACTTTATTCATATTTTATTTGGATTCGACAGTTAATTGGATGGAGGTTTGATGGATGCAGTGGATCATTTGGTCAATAATGCTGGAATTGGTTCCTTCTCCATGTTTGAAGAGACGACGGACGTTGATGTTTTCAGGAAACTCATGGTAAGCAACTATGCATGGAATGATTAATAATCACGCAGGGTTTGCATATATGATGGATGGAATAGTCTTTTCGAATTTCTTGTAGAGGAATAAAATGTAATAATGTCGCAGGATACCAACTTTTGGGGTTCAGTCTACACCACTTATTTTGCAGTTCCTCATCTTAAAGAAAGCAATGGCAAGATCATAGCCATTTCCTCAGCTGCTTCATGGTTGCCCACACCCAGAATGGCCTTTTATAATGTAAGCTTATACTCCACAGATATATATGTTTTAATTATTTAATATACATTTAGTTATTGGTTAATGAAATACATGTATGTATATTAATGTCTGGTGAGGTACTCAGGCAAGCAAAGCAGCAGTTAAGAGCTTTTTTGAAACGCTGAGAGTTGAACTTGGAAACCAAATACAAATAACAATAGTGACACCAGGTTTCATAGAATCTGAACTGACCCAAGGCAAGATTCTGTCGGGCGAAGGTGAAATGCGAGTTGACCAAGAGATAAGAGATGTGATGGTGAGTACAACACCCGTAGGATCAGTAAGTGGGTGTGCCAAGGCGATAGTGAACAGTGCTTGCAGAGGAGATAGGTATTTGACACAGCCATCCTGGTACAAGATGACATATGTGTGGAAGGTGTTTTGGCCTGAAATGGTGGAATGGCATTTCCGCTTGTTCTATTTGACACATCCCTCTCGTAGGGATTTCCCCCTTGGCAAGATGATCTTAGATATTACTGGGAGTCAGCAAGTTCTCTACCCATCTTCGACTCAGTCCTCTGAAATCAAGACAGATTAATCACAAAACCATCTCTCCTGCTCCCTGCTCTTCAAATGTGTATATGTATATGTCTCTTTACAAACAGTGCTACGTTTATGTAACTAACAAACATATATAGCCACCAACTTGATTTCCCATACATGGGGTATATTTTGGTTTCGTCTTAATATGCTGAATAAGCTTCTGTGTCTTTAATTTAATTGGTTTTGTGGTGATTATATATCTTCGTTAATTACAATCCTTTTTCCCTGTTAATTAAAGACCACCCAATTTTATTTTTGGTCATTTTCTGAGACGTTTCGGCTGGTGGAAGATGTTGGCTAAAAATAAAGAAGCAGAAGACTGTTAAAAGTAAACGGGTAAATGAACATGAGAAATGAGTCTGATCTTCATTTATCATTAAAGTAAAACAAAAAAGTCTTTTTATATAGGCTGTTCAGGTAACTAAAACATTAAAAAATATATGGAGTAAAAATTGTAGGTATTCTATTACTTACTAACAGCAAATTTACATAAACAAACATTGAGAAAAAATAACTACATATAACAGATTTGTAGGAAATGATTTTGACTCATTCAATTTTAGTGATTGATTTTTAATTATTTTCAACACAGCTCTCTAGATTCAAAACCAAATGTGCCTAATGGTCGTCGTAGAAAATAGTCTATTTTGAGCTGAGACAAAAGCTTTGTAAATAAGTCAGCAACTTAATCATTTGTAGCACAAAATTTCAGAACTATTTCTCCATTTGCTACCACTCTCTGAGTGAAATGATGCTGCGTTTCTATATGCTCGCTTTTGCAGTGAAAAGCTGGATTTTTTGTCATTGCAATCGTACCTTTGTTGTCACAAAAAATAGTAGTTGATGCTACTTATTCTTGATCCAAATCAACAAGAATTCTTGTAAGTCATACTGCTTGACAAGCTGATGATGTTGTCGTAATGTATTCAGCATCTAAAGATGATAATGCAACAGTATCCTTTTTTTTTTTAGCTCCAAGAGACAGCACTAGAACTTAGGCTAAAGTTGTAACCTGATGTCATCCAAGGAATCTGTCCAATCACTATTAGTGTAACCAAATAATTTGAAATATGATATTGTAGAGTACCAAATTCCAGAGTCAGCAATTCCAGCAACACATCGCAGGATTCTTTTAGTTGCTCCAAGGTAATGTTTTGTTGGATTATGCATAAATCTGTACATAATACTAATAAAAAATACAATGTCGGGTCGAGTGTGTGTCAAATAATTTAATCTGCCTATCAACTTTCGAAAATAGGTTGCATCAGCCTTTCCTGTGTTATCTTCAGCTTGCAATTTGTCATTTGAATTCATCGGAGTTGAAGTCTTGTTGCAACTTACCATGTTGAATCTATTGAGTAGATTAATTTCATACTTTTACTATATAATAAAAATTCCATCCACTCCCTGTTTCACCTCAAGCCCAAGAAAATATTCCAACATGTCTAAGTCTGTTATTTCAAATTTTTGCATTATGGAGGACTTAAAATTAGTAAATAGATGTTCACTTGACCCGAAATAAATCATGTCATTAACATAGAGACAAATAACAAGAAAATCAGCTTTTGCTTCTTTCTTTGAATATAAAGTGGGCTCATTATCACTTCTTTCAAACTCATTTTTACGAAAATAGTTGTCAATCTTACTATACCATACTCGTGTAGCTTGTTTAAGCCCATACAATACTTTCTTTAACTTAAAGACTTTATTCTCATAGCCGGCTACAACAAAACCTTCAGGTTGAGAAAAACAGAAAGAGATAAATGAGTAATTAAAGCAAGCAATACCCTTATTATTTCAAAGCGAGCAACCAGTGAGAAGTTTTCTTCAAATCGACGCGTTGTTACTGAGCATATCTCTTTGCAACAAGTTGAGCTTTAGGTTTTTTTATATTTCTATCAATTTGGTATTTAGTTCTAAATATTCATTTAAATCCGATAACATGTTTTTCTTTAGGTAAATCAATCATTTCTCAAGTTTGATTTTTCTAGATTGTAGCAATCTCTTCATCCATAACATTGCACCATTCTTGTATTTGTGCATCTTTTCATCATAGAATTCTGGATCTAAAACACATAAAGTAAAAGAACCATATGCATAAATTTTCCTCAATGACCTGAATTTCTTTGGAGGAGTTTCACTTGATGAGAAGGAATTAGAGTTGACTGGACTTGAAGAATTTGAGCTCATTGGACTTGAGGAATTACTGACTGTAAGAGAGGAACTTACTGAATTTGAAGATGAAGAATCAGCAACAATATCTTCTAAAATCAGAATTTAATCATGCTTTTGAGCACTTCCCTAATCCCATTCTGCTTCCTCATTAAAAACTGCATTTCTACTAACAATAATCTTGTCACTTAAAAGATTATATAACCTATATGCTTTTGCTATAACCAACAAAAATATATTTTGTAGTTTTCTCATCAAGTTTATGGTGAGTTTGATAATTAATTAAAGCATAGGCTATACAACCAAAAAAATTTAAGTGACTTACATGTGGTTTTCTTCCATTCCATGCTTCATATGGTGTTTTCTTCATAACAGCCCTTGTTGGAGAGATATTCAAAACATATATTGTTGTTGCAACTGCTTCAACCCACAAGGAATTTGAGAAACCTTTAGCTTTTAACAAACTTCTTGCCATTTCCACCACAGTTCGATTTTTTTATTCAACAACATTATTTTGCTTTGGTGTATATGGCTCCCTGCAGATGTCATGTTCTTCACAAAAAATATTAAATTCAATGAAAATAAACTCACCTCCTCTGTTAGTCCGAAAGTACTTGATGCGACTGCTCATCTAATTTTCTACAAAGACTTTAAATGTTTTGAAAGTGACAAGAGCTTCAGACTTAGATCTGAGAAAGTAAACCCAATTCATATGGATATAATCATCAATCAACAATAAAAAATACTAACTCTCTCAATAATGATTTTGAACCTGACATATGCTTGAACTGTCTTTATTTGCCAACTTGTACTCCCCGTCCTTGATTTCCACCGCAACTTCTGTCATGATAACCATCACGAGAATTACTTTTATTTGAGGATTTGTAATTTGATTTACTATGAGATGACTCTCTTTTCACTTAAAAAACATTTTTTTTTCATTTTTTGGTAGTGATCTATTTAATCTATTTTCATGAGCTTTCAAAAAACTCATTAAATCATCAAATGAATAAGTAAATAAATTGTTTGACTCCTCTATTGCAGGAATCACATGATCAAATTTATGAGTTAAACTCCTCAATAATTTTAAAACCATAGTCTCATCAGTAATTCTTTCACCATATGCCCTCATTTGAGCGAAATTGTAGAAACTTTCGAAAAAAAAAGTTTGAACAAATTCAGATGTACTCATTTGAAGCATTTCAAAAGTTTTATCAAGTGATTGAAGTTTGATAGTAATTATCTTAGATGATCCTTGAAATTTTGTTTTGAAAATTTGTCAAACTTTCTTAGAAGTAGTTGCTGCAGAAATTCGATATAAAATATCGTCTGTAACTACCTGTTGAAGAAAGAACAGAGCTCTTGTATCTTTTTTTTTTTTCTATTTTCTCAAAGCCTTTGCTCGTCATCTGGGTCATTGTACCCATTTCTTACAAACTCCCATAATTCTTGAGACATAAACAAAGTTTTCATTTTTATGCTCCAAAATTCATAACTCTCACCATTGAAAGAGGAATTAAAGGTTGATATGATATTGTTGTACCATTTACTGCCATTTTTTTAGGTTTGCGTGAACCACTTAAGTGTATTAATTTTCTCTTTGTTTTGCACTCTCTCAGCTGTACAAAATAATGGCTGATACTAAATATATTGGCTAAAAATAAAGTAAAAGATTGTTAAGAGTGTAAATTAAGATGAGAAAAGAGTCTGATCTTCATTCACCATTAAAGTAAAACAAAGAAGTTTTTATATAGAGTATACAGGTAACTAACAAATCAAAAAAACATAGAGTACAAACTTTAAATATCTTATTATCCACTAACAACAAATTTATTAGAACAAATATTAAGAAAAAACTAATGCAACTATATATAGCAGATTTATAGAAACTGATTTTGACTCATTCAATTTTGTTGACTGATTTTTAATCATTTTCAAGAGAGGAGAGTGGGATTGGACTGTTGTAAACCGGGTTTGGTTTAATTTCCATTTGATTTTTGATAACCCATCAAGATTACTAATGCATGGCTGTGTTTTATTATATTACCACAAGTAGTGTAGTAATTTTGGCATTTTTGTGTATGTGTATATAAAATAGGCGTCTCTAATGATCTATGTACCATAATAAATACTGACTTGTATGGATTAATCTACTAGATTTTAATGTTGCTCTTCCTCTTACACTTCTCATTCTTCTTCTCTTCTTGTTTCCTCCTACAGTAATAAACATATATTATATCCGCATGCATGCGGCAAACCAACTTTAGAGAGACGAGAATATGATGGTTTCAAGTCGATGCAACAGTAGATCACTCTGACTTGGCTCTTATTATGATAATTGTCTTCCTTTCACAATAAACGCTGAAATTTTGGAAATTTTATGAAATTTATTTATAAAATAAAATTTATACAATAAAATTTATTGTAGGATATTAATAGAACAATCAATATAACAAGAAAACGGTACAATTAAGCTTCTAATGACAAACCGCGCTTCAATTCTAACCTACAATATCATAAAGGGAAGTGAATCAGTGACAGTACACGGACCAAGTCGGTGGGGAAATTCAATTACTTCAATATATATATATATATATATATATATTTTGCTTTTGATATGTTGGGTCAGTCTAATTAAATGATACCTATAATTTACGGTTAGATCATTGATTCCTCTGCATATGTACGTCATATTTTGTATACATATTCTCTCAGCTGAGAAATTGTTAGTGAAAAATGGATTTCATTCACAAGTTGATGAACATTGTGCTTCCTCGAGTAATGCTCATCGTGCTTCTTTTGTGTCTCCCACCATACTTGGTTTTTACGTTTCTTAGTTATCTAAAGAGATCAATCTTCACCGAAGATGTTGCTGGGAAAACAGTTCTGATAACTGGAGCATCTTCAGGAATCGGAGAGGTAATCAACGTCAATTAATTCATTTGTAAATCTCATTTCATTATAAACTAACGTTTATATAATTCTATCTGAGGGTTAATCTAAGAATTATACTATATATAATTGAAGCATATTGCATATGAGTATGCAAGGAGAGGTGCTCGTTTAGCGCTTGTTGCAAGAAGAAAAGATCAACTTGAGGCAGTTGCCAAGAAAACCTGCGAGCTTGGCTCTCCCGATGTTCTTGTCATCTCTGCAGATGTCTCCAACCTCCATGACTGCAAGCGGTTTGTAGATGAAACTGTCAAGCATTTTGGTCAACGTAAGTTTCGTGTCTATCTTCATTATATGCATGTTTATTCAGGTATATATATGTTTATTCCACACCTAAAGAAAAGCAAAGGGAAGATTATTGTGATTGCTTCAGCTGCTGCATGGTTAATTACGCCAAGACTCAGCATTTACAATGTAATTAATTAATTAAGCTCACTCAAAACTAATTAATTTGTTAATTCAGGCCGCCATAATCAGCTTGCTCGAGACATTGAGAATAGAAGTTGGATCACAATTGTTAGTCCTGGCCTTAATGAAACAGATATGACTAATCCTGAATATATGCCTAATTAATCTTTAATAATTATATTTGAAGGAATCTTTTAAAAAAAAAAAATGACATTCAATTTTCATCCACCATTTTAGGAAATATGTAAATAAAAATATATAAAATTTAATTATAAATTCATAACTGGTCACTTATGTATGGGCCCCAGTGAATTAGGAGGTAGATATGTTCCTTTTAAATGACATTTAAATATTCTTGTCCGCGTATAATACTAATTGCAATTCATTCATGATATGCATGTTTATGGTTATAATTGAATGGTATTTTTATTTATTTATAAAAAAAATTATTGAAATATATAAATTACTCATTACAGAATAACCTCATGCGGCCTTGAGGTTCACTCTCAACTTGTGAGGGAATTGATTTAACCATGTTGTTACAAAAATGTTATCTAATTTCTCTAAAATATTGTCTCAAGAAAAAGATTAGATAGGATACATCAAATTAAAGAAAGATAAAAACTAATCATGCTGCGGAAAATAATTAACAGGATACAAATTTTTGGGGCGTAATCTATGCTACTTATTTCGCCATTCCACACCTGAGAAAGAACAAAGGGAAGATCATTGTCACAGCTTCATATGCAGGAAGGTTTCCTCTTCCCGGAACCAGTATCTACAATGTAAGCTTTATAATTGGTATATATTATTATTAGCGTTCTTATCATGTTCAGTGCTTAATTTAGTGTTCGTGCATTAATGTAAAGTTATTTAAAATGGATTTAGGCAAGCAAGGCTGCACTTATATCTTTCTACGAGACACTCAGATGTGAAATTGGTTCAGACATTGGCATAACAATTGTCACCCCTGGCTTCATCAATACTGAAATGACTAGAAACCAACTCTTTATCAAGGTAAGACTTCATCTTGTTTAATCTGTTAATAAATATGTTGTGCGTGTACCTAAGTATATCAGAATAGTCTTCTCTGTCATTTTAGTAATATATCTTATCATAAAATGAGATTGATGGTAATTGAACAGGCGAGTCCATGGCTTTACCTTTCGTGGAGTCGTCTGAAGAATGTGGTAAGGCCATAGTGAAGAGCAGTTGCCGGGGAGACAAGTACTTGGTGGAGCCATCTTGGGTCAAGTTTATTTCTCCGCTCATGCTGCTTTGCCCTGAATTAGTTGAATATTTCACTCGCATATTGTTTCGTACTTGTCTTAAAAATTTCAGGCATGTTACAGAACAAAAAACAGTATAGGACCATCATCCTTAGCCAAACTACTAAAATTCCTTTCTGTATATCTAATCAAATTGCAAGAGGAAGGGAAGACTAATTAAATAAAAAGGATTTAGCAGATGGCATTACTTCTTAATTAATTCTATCCTCTATGATTACTGAACTTGACCACATACTAAACAGCTCATGGTTCTACTCAACGTCATAATAGAAATATTGAAACATCAATTGCAAGTACAAGTAGTAAGTATAGATTGTCCTGCGGTGTTCTAGTTTTTTCATTTCTTTTTTAAAAGGTCCAATCAGGTATTATTTCTTATGGTTGAGATTTCTTCTATGAGAAAACAGAGTATTCCCCTGCCCTCACATAGATGAGGACAGAAATTAAGAGGGAGATCCCCTTTTTATCCATTTTTTATCTTAATTTTATAATTTGAAATTTTTATTAAATTATACATATTGTATACATTATACATTTTACTTAACATGTATGGAACCATATAGATTTTGCTCAACAAAGAATCAGAAAGAAAAAATGCACATGAGATGAGTCAATTAAATAACAGGTCTCCAGGCTTGATAGAACTGCAGTAGTATTCCGGTATTTATAACATCAGTGCATTAACTTGACTCAGCGAAATGTAAACTATTGAGCTATAACTCACTTTGTGAAGTGTTGACGCAGAGCCTGACTTCTCATCAAAATAGCCCGTAATTTCTTTATTGCCCCGTGGGAGGCTCATGGAGCTCCTACAAAACCAAAGCAACATGCATTTCTAATTACACAAGGGAGTTGGAAATATAAAAATTTTAAATTCCAAAGGTTAGACAACTGACCAAATCAATGTGGATTGAGAAGGTGACAAAACTCATGTTAACGGGTGGGCCACTTGATACAGCTTGCTTCAAAGAAGTCTCCACTAACCCTAGCTTCAAAAGTCTCATTTGCTGGCATTCTTCTTAGCAATTCATTAGCTTTTCATTCTCCTTTGCTTCTCAAAGATGAACTAGCTTTCCTTATCTGCCGCATGCAACTTTTTATTTGATAGCCCAAAACATTTTTACTTGTAAACAACTTCAGTGAGGTCACCAGATACAAAGATATGATAACAAGCTCACAGCACCGAACTGAACCAGCATTGCCAGACATCTTCCCGTTAGTAGTATATAATTTTCAATTAGTGCTGAGCACTTCTTGTACATTTCCGTAACAAAGCCATTGAACAATGAATTTGAAGCATCATAATCAGGAGTGTCCTCTTTGATACCTGCAATAGCGACAGTTTCTGATCCAAGCCAACACTTTCAGCTTACTTCTTTGGCAGAGTGAAAATATATAGAGGCAATCAAGGTGATATATCAATTGGATCTGAGGGGCGAACGTTTGGAATTTGAGAAGCAGAGGACTTCAGTCTCCTGAGAAGCAACCATGCATCAGAAGAAGAACACCCCTGGCACATCTCAAGAGCGACAGGAAGAGATGCTTCATCTATTTGGATGAGCATTGTGCCCTGCATTAAAGCAAATCATAATGTCAAAGTATCAGACAAGTGAGCCAATCTCAAAATACAAACCAATTCCAGACAATTAAGCAATATATAGAACTGAAAATTTACGAAATTAAACAGAAACAGTTTGCAGCGACCTTCAATTGCACTTGGATAACATCAGTCACAATGTCAAATATGGTACCTCAAAATTCACCAAAAATATTTGGAACTGCCTCAAGGTCTCCTTCATACCACTGACTATCTTGATGTCTGAAGAAGAAAGTGCAGCAGAGACCTCCTCTGGAGAATGACCAATTCCTTTCTGGACAACCTAGAGAGCCAAAAACAATAGATTTTCCTATGAATTTAACAACACTTCCACAGAATCAATGGGAGAAGGCCAAATAGAAACTCACGCTGTGGTCAATCAATATTTCAGAAATGAGACTGCCGTCATCAACATAGCACTGGAGCTCAAAGGTTGACCGTTGCTTATATTGGAATTTTTTGACACCAGTCAAAAAGCACTACAAAATTATTTTAAAGTTTCAGAAACCACATATTACTAAAATTAGAAAGGTTATACAAGCTCAATAAGTTATCTTCATAATGAGATTTTAGACCACAGACTATTCCATCACCAGCATGCATATATAAAATATCAAACCCATTATTATATAACAGAATATTCATGAGTCTCGTACATACTTAAGTTGAAATTTGCAGTAAGTAATTTATAAGGCAGATATTATGGCAGCATTTAGTGGTTCGTGAGGATTCACAAAATATAATAAAGGAACTAA